TGATTTTCTTTTGGTTGATTTTTTCCTTCCCCTAATGTCAGGAATCGTAGTTCATCTGAACAAATAAATCATTCAATAGATCACTTATCAATATTTTACGATATTTAATCGTAAAAGGTGATTCATACCCGACACAAATTTTAAATTTTTTTTTTAAAGTCATATATAATATAAAGGGGGTATGTATAAATACTTGTCGGCTCTTAAATATTCTCACTTTTGTCAAATCATATATCCATTGAGATCAGTAAACTTCTGGTTTACTGCAGGTGATAATTATAAATCAAATGAGAATGAAGACAACTATATCGATAACCATTTCTCTCTCAAATGGTTATTATGATATAATTAACCTTTATCTCATTTGATTTCTAATCATGATCTCTATTATTGTCTCATTTAGTGTCTCAATTTGATATCCATTTCAACGGATATTCAAATTCAATAAATTTTTCGAGACATGGTAAAAAGTAGTGCTTTATTTATGATAAACTTTTCTCCTACAGGGAGAAATATAGTAGTGGCTCTTCTGGAGCTTTCAATCACTTAAACACTACAACTGATTGTGTTTATCTTTCTCATTGGAATATAGTGTATATAGTAGCACTTATTAATGAGACACATATCATTGTCACCATAATTCTTATGAGATAAATATCATCACCATAATCCTTTGATCCCAAATATTTAACATCCATTTCTTCTTCAGGAAGAAAAGTCAATTACTATCATAAATTAAATCAAGCATCATACACCTTCAGGGTGTTTAAAGAAATTGGCCATGTGAAGATACTATTATAATTTTGATTCCTCATATGTACTTCGAGACATTTATCTTCAGGATCCTTACTTTCTTGTCCTCATCATTATTATCCCACTTCAAGTGGTAATTTTTCTCTGTCATGGTAAAATATATATTTACCAAAATCATAGTCATGGCAGCAACCATAACTAATAAATTGAAATTTAGTCGCATTCACTTCTGGAAATGGACTAGAACTAGTATGTAATAAGTACAAAATACTTCTCAAATTTTCTCTCAATATTGCTACTACAAGAGCATATTTGAGAAATATGTAGAGAATATTATTTTCAACTAAGAAATAATTCTAAACATAGCAGAATTATGTATTTGCAACCATAAGTAGATTGATCATACCAGACTTTGAAATAATGACCATATTTTTCTTTAAGTATTTCAAAGAACAAATGGATCTTCAAGCATAATTAATTTTCTATAATAGCATTTCCAAAACTCAATGCATCAGAATATAAGTATTTATAACAAATAATTCTAAAGATAAATAAGTAGAATTAAAAGATGAAATATTACCTCAAAGACGTCAAAGAGTATATGTTCTTGTTTAGTAGTTGCTCAGTAGTAGACACTTGTATTTTGCAATCATTCAAAGGTTAACCTTAATAAATTGAAATAAATTTATAGGTTAGAAATTTACCTCAATAAATAGACAGATGTTGGCGAAAAAAAAACATGAGCAGAATCTCGTGTTTCACTTTTACTCAAGGTAAAGACTCCGTTTTCACCTTTTGCTCAAAAGTAGAGACTCGTGCTGATAACGTGTTGTAAAACTAATAAAATAAACCACTGTAATATCAAGTGAAATATTGGAGATATTAGAGAAAGAAGTAGAGAAATAGAGAGTGATTATCTTATTATTTCAACTAATACAAAAGTCCTCACAAAGGGTGTCAATGTACCTCTATATATAGGTACTACAAGATTAAAGGTACATTAATCCTATTAAACACCCACTATTACAAGAATATGAAGAAACCTATGAAACAGTTTCTCCACTACATGAATAGATTTATGGATTGTAACTTCTATATATAATGTAGCCATAAATCATGAATTAATTCTCTTGGGAATACAAAGGGACATCCACATTTTAATTGTTTCATAACAGATTGTTTTTCTAAGGGTGAATTTTAAAACATCTATTATTCTCAAGAACACAAAAATTTCAGGCATGTAATTGGAGTCTTGCAAAATGGTGGTAGTAAGATTCACATCAAGTTGTTTTTTTTTTTTTTTTAACATTGCGTCAGAAAATATCTACTAATTAGCAATCCGAAATATTCCATGAATTATTGGTACCAAACAATTAAACGTTGGTAGGTTATACTTCCACATCATGAACAGCAGTCCAGGGTGGTGGTCTCCGGTGACAACCGGTCAGCTGGCCTCCCGGTCAAAATATTATGCCACATTTTCTCGAGAGTGACATGATTGGGCCTACTTTGGCAAATTCACTCTCCAAAAATATAGAATCGTGTTTTTTTTTTTCAATGATAGATAGACTAAATGTACAAAAACACAAATATGTGGATTCCACCTGTTTGTCCCACGGTACACCTGTACATTCGGTCTACAACAGACCCTCTCTCCTTCTCTCTCTATAGTGCCAGCTGAAATGAAGTCAATATATTATATCCCTTATTTCTTTTTGACTTGGTAATGGCCAATCAAGTTGAAATTATACAATAAATTGCAATTGGTGTAATTTGGAAAGTCTATCAGATCAATTCTCAGTAACAGGGGTTGAACATTGACATTTTTGGAAAGCTTTTACAACTTAAAGATGTGTAACAGGCTCTGACACTGACATTTTTCAAAGTTAGAATTGAACAAATTTATAAATTTAGATCATTAAACTGCATCATTTTACTCTGTTTCTTCAAGAGATACAGACTCACATAGGGGCCTGTTGACTCTTCGCAAGTACTACTATAGCTATTGCTCTGCACCAGCCGAGGGGAATCCGGAGGATAAAACAGAGGTTTTGGTGGCAACCGCAAGGCTGTGAGATCACCTTGTAGCATTTCCACCACTTCTCTCATTGAAGGCCGATCATCTGGCGTCATCTGTATACACCACAATGCAATCAAAATTAATTTTCTTGCAGTTCTGTTTCATCTTCAGTTGCATCTTCAATTTCCAGGTTCTCTCCTTGGTCAAATTTGTCATATATCCATGAAGGGAAGTACATTTGCTTGAATGCTCAGCATGTGCATTAGGTTTCTCCTCCTTCCTACCAACTCCATAAGTAGCATTCCGAAGCTATATACATCAGCCTTGGACGAGACTTTTCCAACCCTTTTGTAGAACAATTCTGGAGCCATGTATCCTAATGTTCCTCTCACAGCAGTTAGACTTACAGTATTATTTTGAACAGGATGCAATTTAGCTAGTCCAAAGTCAGAAACCTTTGGCGTGAAGTTTTCATCAAGTAAGATGTTGTGTGGCTTTATGTCAAAATGCAAAATTTGCATGCTGCAGCCTTGATGCAAGTATTCAATCCCTCGAGCTACACCCATGGCGATCTCGGTTGCCTTCTTCCAACTTAATGGATTTGCATCCAGACGTTCAGAGAAAATGAACTTTTCTAGGGATCCATTAGGCATGTAATCGTAGACGAGTGCATGCTTTGAGGCAGTTACACAAAACCCCACTAATCGCACCACATTAACGTGGTGAATTCTTCCAAGAGCTGCAACCTCATTGATGAATTCTTGGCCATTAGCTTTGGACTTGTTCAACATCTTGATTGCCACTAGTTCACCACTCCGCAATTTTGCTTTGTATACACAACCATAACACCTTCTCCTAACTTTTCCTTAAAATTGTTGGTCATCTTCTTGATTTGTTTATAGGAGTACCTGATAGGGATCAAGTTGTTGCGACTTTGGAGATACTCTTCTATAGCATCATATACCGATAAATGCCTTCGTTGGCACTTATAGATGAGAAATGCAACTAGTAATAGCCACCAATAATTGCTCTTGCTCCAATGGCAAAACCTGCAATAGGGTCAAATGAAGAAGCTTACAATAATGAAGTACAGTTATAACTTATTTAATGCATTACAGTTCGAGAGCTTACCTACGAACGGGCCCAGACCACTATGTATACTGCTAAACATTCTGCAACAAAAAGATATCATGATTAGCTTAAATCAAGTTTCCTTACAACATTACATGGAAGCCTGATTATCAGTAGAACGAGAGTATAAATGTCGTAATAGGGAGAGATTATATTGTAATCTTCCCACTCTGATCTTTTAATGGTTAAAGAAAAGAAAAGTTTGAATTCCGAATTTGCATTAATTGTAACTTTGCTTAGTACCAACAATCGTAAGATAAAGGATATTATATATGTATGCCTGCGTTTTGCAATTTTCTATGTCCACAAAAGTTTGAGACGGGGTTCAGTTTTTTTAACATACTCTTACTTGTTTGTTTTGGTGTATCTACAAATGTACCCAACATTTTTATAAAATTACCACATATCATAGTATTCAAATTCCCGGGCAAACTTATAAAATTAGTTCCAAGGCAAACTTATAAAATTAGTTGCTATGGAAATTTCCAATTTTTAAGGGTAAATTATTAATACCCCATAGTTTCATCTATTACCACATAATCCCCTAATGTTTCAAAATATTCAATTCATTTCCCATGATTTCATGTAAACTAGAAATTGAACGAAAAATGGTCTTTATAAGGTCATTAGTTAAAATGCCAACAATGCCCTTACTTAAATGTTAAATCAAACGATGACTTAACTACCTTCTATTAAATCATGGGAAAATTAGGTGGATAAATGTAAAAATTATAGGGATATAAAGTGGATATTTACGCAAATTATAGGAGAGTTAAATGGATATTATGATTTTATCATATGCACTTTTAAAGTATGTGTGGTCTAATCGTCGTAACTAATTATGCATTCTATCCATTTTCCATTTTTACATAAAACTGCATGGGTTATATGGCTATTTTGAAACCTTAGAAAGATCATCTAGCATTATGCAAAACTATAGGGATCATATGTAATTTATCCAATCTTTTAATGGCCTGCCTTCATAGTCTGTGCAAAGGAAGACAAATAATTAGTTACTTTCCATTGCCAAGTATTTGCCACGAACTCAAGTTGGAATATAAATCAGTTTGAATGAAATTCAGGAGCTCAGAACAAATCAAAGGATGCACTTACTGAAAATTGACGCCTCGCATATGTTCATATAACCCCATTTAAGCTCAAAACCAGATGCCATGGCGTCATGGATGTCCTGGAAAGAAAGGTTGACATTCAGAGAGTGCTGAAACCGTGAAGTAATGATTTTGTGGATGGTACATGTCTCTTCGATATCAGATGCCACCAGATCCGAAGATTTACTGACCACTACATAACTGTAATTGCTCTGATAAGCAATTTCCTGATTGGAAAATTCCCTGGCGGTTAAACAAGGAGAGGTGTCTACATACATAGAAGAATGGACTGGTCTCTTACAAGTCACAAAAATCAACAGAAAAGCGTCAGAACCAGGGCTTAGAGGACTATATGAAAAGTCAAGAATTGAGTACAGTGGAACAGTGGAGCAGTTGTTCTTCACAACCCCAGGATCCATAATACGAATCGATTTTGAGTGCATGATCTTCCTGATGCTTTCTTCGGCTACATAATATTTGTTGGAGTTGGGTCCTAAGTACAGAACTGTGCGGTTGTGCTCGCAAGAGAGTCGAACATCAGACTCACCGCAGCTTTTAAAGTCAACGCCCTCAACTTGAAAAGGCCAACCGACATTAATGCGGATTTTCCCGCATATGAATTGGTGCTCACATTTGGGACCTTTCTCAAGGTTCGGAGAAGCTAAAAAAACAAAGATGAGGGTCAAGCAAACTGCAAACATGAAGACCAAGCAAACTGCAATGATACTCTTCAAACCCAGCATGGTGTCTGTTTGCAATGGTCAGAAGGACAAAGGAAAAGATAAATGAAGTTCTTAAGCACACTTTGACATAATTATTTCTTTGATTACATTTCTAAATTTAAATATTTGTTTATTCGTTAAGACGCTTCTATTTGCTTGCAGGATCTATCTTAACAATACTCACATTAGTAATGATTGTCTTGTTTGAATGACTTTAGGAACAGGTAGTCATTCAATAGAGGAAAAAAAATATATATTGAATAAAGCAAGTATTAATTTTGTATATATCGAGAATGTATACATTAGCAAGACTTGATGTATATCACATTATCTCAATTTGGAGTTGAATTGTAAACTATGCACATACAGAATATATTCAAACTTACTACTAATGTATATACCGACAATGTATAAATGATTTATTCTAATAAATAAAAATTTATATTTGACTCAAAAATGATATATTAACTTTTTTTTATGATAAAATACACATTGAAAATTAGTGCATTTTCATTTTTCAGTCCAAGAAAAAGTAACATGTGCAGCTTTGACCGAAATGCGTTTGAACCCATTTTCTGGGACGACGCACAGTACGGGCCACGTGTGAATTTCTACCCTGTGACTGAGAATAGGAATGCCCGACTGAGTCAAAGTCGAATAGGAAAGCCCGACCGAGTCGAAGTCTATCTGTTACTAATTTCTAGTCGGTCCTTCCCATTTTATAAATTTGTTATATCGGCAGACTTGGTGATTTCCATGGGCTCGAGTTTCCATGGACTCGTATGGAGTTACGTGCATTGTATGGGCTGTGGGCAGCAATAATTCCGGGATGGTTAAGTTCAATTGAACAGATAGGAAATCATTTCTTTAATAATGTAAATTAAGTATCGGAATATATTGGGGTAAGGTTGGATTGAGTAACAAATGGGAAGGGACGGTAAGTATGTTGTCCTCTATGTACAAAAAAAAAAAAAATGCAATCACAGTACAAACTTAGAACATTAATCGCCTCGTTTGGATTGTGAGTTTTTTGGATGTTTATATAAATTTTACTGTAATTTACTTTAAGAATTGTAGAAAACTTTTGTGTAGTTGGATCAATGTGTAAAAAAAAATTCTTTTTTCTTTTCTTCTTCTTTCTTTTTTTTCCTCTTCTTTTCTCCCTCCTTCCTTTTCCCTCCATTCTTCCTCTCCACTGCCAGTACCCCACTCCCCACCGCCTGCGCCCCTTTTTTTTTTTCCCCCAAGTACCAGGATCGATCGAAAGTTCAATTTTTTTGAAATGTTCATTTTCAAATGATATCCACATTGATCACAAATATTCATTTTTTATTTAAAAATTTATTATAATTTAGTCCGTTACAATTTTCACATTGAACCCACAAATGCCTATATTTTTTAGTTACATCAAGATCATTAGAACTCTATCTCTCTCAACAGGGGACGTGGCGAGGAGGTGGCAAGAGAGAGAGAAAGAAAGATACTGGTGCTAGTGGAGTGGTGTCGGCCAACACCGGTGAAAAAGAAGGAATAAAGGAAAAAAAATTTTATGTGTTTTAAGATATTTTGAGGTATGCATTTTATAAATTTTTAGAAGTTTTTGAGATTCCTATAACTAATGGGTGTAAAAATTATCAAAGAAAAATTCACCAAAGACCTTGGTACAAATAGGCCCATTATTTTACAACAACATCATAAATGGTACACACTCTGTTCCATTATATTATCAAACTTTATTTTTTTTCCATCTCAAATATATGTCACCCTCTATATATGGCAAATAGTTAAAATCCCCCTTCCACTCCTATCCTTCAATAACTTATTAGGAGCAAAATTGAGTGGGCCATCAATTTGCTTCAAATTTGTGCCGAGGAATCAATGCGTGAACAACACCAAGAATGAAACAAGAAGAATACGTAAATGATGCAGTAGCTCTTACTAATGGATTTTCACTGACATGTGCTTGTCAATAATTCGATGGAAGGTTAGGGGATGTTGGGTTTTGAGAGTGCGGAAGAAGAAGACCACAACGGTTTGAAGGCTAGTTTAGGGCGCCCACAATATTTTTCAACTGTTGCCATTGCTATGATGAATAACACAATCAAGGTGCACGGGTATGTGGTTAGATATACTAGCTATGCATTTCGTTTTGCCTTGACAGTATTGTTGAATGTTGAATTTGCTGGACTTTACCTGTTCTTAAAACTTTTGGGAGCTTTTGAGCCATGCATGAGCACATTATTCCTGTTTGCTCTATTTTTGTTTGATTGAGTGGGTATCACACATGGCATTGGCATTTTAGAACTTTCTATTTTATACATGTCGAGACCACATTTTGTAGAACTGGATGCATTTGAAATGATAAGGGCATTTAGGATCTATCTAACCTTTTTTTTTGCTTCTTACAACACCATGCCTTTATCTTGTCTCCCAATAGTGGACCAATTTGAGCTTTTATTCCTCTCCTTTGTTTGATAGTTGTATTTGGTAACCCAAGACCTTTTTAGACTTCCTTGTTCACCCTGTGTTGTTAAGGGATGTCTGAATTTCATCATTTGTGTGAGGCGGATATACCTAAAGTCGCAAGTGTTGTTAGAATAGCATTTGTATAATGCTATCTTTGTGCATATGCTGAACAAAAAGTGGGAAATATTGACAAAAAGCTGATGAGCAGAAGACTCTGTCTTTCAGGGCGTGCCCACACCTTGCAAGACGTCCTCTCCAAAAAAAAAAAAAAAAACATCTCGTGAACAGAAACTCTGACCTACAAGGCGTGCCCACGCCTTGCAAGGCCGCTTGTTAAAAAAAAAAAAAAGGGGACGAGTTTCGACTCTTGCGCAGTGAGTACAGCAAGTGAAACTGCCTTAATTAGTGAATTTCCTTGATGAAGCATTGTGGTTATGTGGTGGATATCGGACATTCTCTTGATACATTATACCTTATCTTCACCTTCTTATCCCACCTTTTACCTAAACCCCATTACAACTCTATTAAAGTCCCTTTGATTTATGTATTTAGTTCACTTTTTAGTGGTGGAGATGTGATAAATGTGCAAGTCTATGGTAATTCCATTTCGTGATGTTGATTTGAGTGTTCCTAGTATTTACATATTCTCTTGAAGGTGACGTATAATATTATTTATATCCTTGGGCTAATTACCTGTCTGGTATTTTCTAATTTCGGCGATATTGTCGGGAATGCGGGATGTTTGTGTTAAATATAGACGACTATGATACCGTGGCTACCTTGATTGTGCTTCTGAGCTTCAAAATACTTGAGGACAAGCATTGTCTAGGTTTAGGGGATTTGATAGAGCAATTATTTGGCACATTTTACACTGTTATTTTGTCCTAATTTTGGCTACTTACCGTGCAAAGTATTGTGATGTTGCTCATATTTCATATTTGTATGAATTGTAGGTGATTGGTGTAAAAAGTGTTTTCACGAGGCAAATTTTCAGAAGACTCTCTATTTCATGGCGTGCCCATACCAGAAACTGAAGAGTTACACCTAAAAGCCGGACCGCGGGACTGGCAAAACAAGTGGAACATCAGGAAACCAAAAGTGGCCCACGTGGACCAGACACATGGGATTAAAACCCCAAAAGAGAAAAGCTTTGAAGAGGACTTTTTTGGGTGGACTTCTCCTGCGGCGGTTACTGGACATTGGCTTTGGTTTTCAAATATAGTATCAGATGTTTGCTTTTTTTTGTTTTTTGTACCATCAGACGCTTTTTCCCTTTTTTCTTCTCTTCAGTAGCAATTAGAATAGGCCAGACGTCTTTTTCCTTTTGACTTTTAACCCTTGCTCTGGACAATTCTGGTAATTAATTATATTTTAGCAAAAGGTTAGCCTTTTGCTTTGTAATTGCGGCTCCAAAATGAAGGCGAAGTCAGGGTCTTCTCTGTTGTTTCTTCAATTAATTCACCTTCCCCAACTCTTCGGTAATTAATTGAATGAATTCAATTAAATCACGTGGGATTGACACGATGAGAAGCGGTTAATTTTCTTCTCTACCTAAACGTTGATGCGAGGGCGCAGTCCATAATATATGTGAGATCTAATCAAATCTTCATTATTTCTTTCAATTTGTTGCTATTCATGCGTTTCCTGAATTAATTGTTCATGGATATTTTATTAATTGAATATCAACGGGCGGATTTTTGATTTAATCTAATAGCCTACTGTCACATTAACTAAATTGAATCCGTAATTGTTCGTTTAGTTGATACCTAGTGGCAACCACCATAATTGGTTTTATGTTGGGGAAACGTAAGATCTGATTTAAATAAACCCTCTTAGCGTGTTTATTGGTCAGGGTTGGGTTCTTCTAGCTTTAATACAACTGAATAATTAAATTCCTACGGTCGTACCTAGGGTTGTTTTCTGGTTAGAGAAGCAGTCAATGATCGTACCTTAACTGTCGAAAAAGTAAGGAAGAGCTGGTTATCAGAACTTGTTGATAGTTATAACCAACCTAGTGATTGATGAATAAAATATCTTTGCATCGATGATCATTTAATTGGACCGTGTCTGAGCAGTTGATCCTTTGGGTAGAATTTTATTAATTGCTACTTTTAGTAACTTGTGCTTTGAGAATTAGTTTTGAATTTAGTTTGCTTTATTTTTATTCTTATTTTTTATTTGCCTCCCATTAAAAATCCCCCAATTTTGTTCTATTGACTTTGAAAGAAACAATTTCCTACCCGTTCCCTGTGGATTCGACCCTACTCACCGCTATACACAAAATTTATATTTTTCTTGAGTAGGTAATTATTATTGCACAGGTTCGACACCTGTCACCAATCATGTATATAAAACTTCTGAAACTAGATGACACTCCCGACACTTGTAAACGGACTGTTTGTCCATTCAACTATCGATACTTGCAAATAAACTGAAGAAGATTTATCGAAGGGATAAAAACCAAAGGGAAAAAATAATAGGGAGGGTAAACTGATTATTTTTCATGCTTCCTCGTTTTCCACAAAAAGAAAAAATAATCTCATACGCGGCTCTGG